CTTAGTTGATTCTCAACTTCATTCTTATAAAGAGTAAATTTATCAATCGCCTCATCTTTTCTTTTAAGCAAATATACATAACAATATTTAGTGCAATCATTAACAAAAGTGATGAAATACTAGTTGCCACCTCGAGATTGTACGACCTTCAAGTTACACACATCACTATGCACTAAATCTAAAGGCTCGGTATTTCTTTTAACAAGATGAAATGAAGTCCTAGTTAATTTTGCTTCTACGCACACTACTACAAATACAGATAAAAATCATACTTTTTTTGTGTGATATATGCTTTTTAATCACACCTTTTGAGTTTTATTAAAGTGTGATCTTTGGGAGTGTGATTAAAAGGGGTAATTTTTAATCACACTTTTTAAGTGTCATTAAAAAATGATTTCATCACATCTTTTAAGTGTGATTAATAATATTTAGATCACATCTTTTAAGTGTGATTAAAAACATTTAGATCACATCTTTTAAGTGTGATTAAAAACATTTAGATTACATTAAGCGTGATTAATAACATTTAAATCACATCTTTTAAGTGTGATTAATAACTAATAAAACCTGTGATAAAAAAAAAAAAGAATTCGACATATTTGAAGAATAATCAATATTATTTTTGTACGTGCATTTGAAGAATGTAATACACACTATATACTATATTTTTAATCACAACCATATATTGAATGGAATAACGTCATATATTTCATAAATGAAAGTTAAATGTTCAAAAGTATATACAAAGGAATTAATAAAAAGTTTTTAACTGTGATTACATATATTAAAAAATGAATTTTTTTTTTGAAAAAACTAAGTTTTTGAATTCTTTGACCATATTTTGCATCTCTCCAGGAAATTTTTGACCTAAAAAAATAAAAATACAAATTAATTCAGAAACTACTAGAAGCATATGAATAAACTTACTATTTTTGTAGAGATTGTTCTTGTCTTACAAAAGACAAAATCGGACATTTTGTCATCACACTGACTCTTCATCCCCTGCATCAATAGAAAAGGAATAACGACTTTGATTGTTACTAGTATAAAATGTTTGTATTACCATATATAAATATGACATATATATAGAATCAATAAATCCAAAATGAAAATCTTCAATGTATGGCCAGATATTTTAAAGTCATAAAACCAAATATATATAGAATCAACAAATCCAAAATTATAAACCATACATAACAAAAAGAGTTCCGCCTCTCTCTCTCTCTCTCTCTCTCTCTTCATTTCTTACCAAATCACTTTAATCAGAGTGTAATTTTTTGAATTCAGCTTCTGGCAAAGAAGAACTCAACTTAACTCAACTCCATTGATTCATAATCCAGCTAATTTGAAATTATAAATAAATAAATAAAAGAAAAAAGAACTGCATAATTGGTTCATTCTCCAATTATGAAATAACAAAAGAGAGCAAGTTACTGGATTTAGATTTATTAATATTACCCTCACTCTTTATATGAAGACTGGTTTTCCTGTAGCCTATGGAGCATGATTGAACAGTATATATAAACACATATTTGTAAATCACAGCGTTGAAAAGATTTTATCAAAAAATTATTATGGCAACACATCAACAGAGAGAGGAAACGAAACTAAATCCTAACAAAAATTAAAGCTCAGATCAAGGTAGAGAAAGAAAAGTAATTAATATACCAAGTCAAGATGGGTCAACTCCAAAAGAACAAACAAATGAACAATCCCCACAGTTCCAGTATTTGAGTGTTGAGCAATTCTACCAAGATTGTAACAATTATCTGTTGGTGTATCTGTTTTCAGATAAGAAAAAATATAAATAGAGAGTGGATAGAAAGAGAAAAAAAGATGAAATGATGAAAGAGAAAAGAAGATATAAAAAAAGGAATAAATCACACCCCAATGAAACAACAATCACGGTCAACAATTTATAGCTAGTTTAAAAATCTCGTTTAGCCATACGTAGAGGAATATCTTTTCATAAAATTGATACCATCAGGAGACACTAAATTATATGCTAGCAAGAGAAAACGCACAATCATATATGTAGGAAATACAAACAAATAAAAATTGAAGGCATATAAAGTTCTTAGTTTAAATTCAAAGAACAGAAGGAAACTTGAGATAAAAAGGAAGTAGTCTACTTATATTCCAAATTTCATCAGAGGGAGAGAGGAAGAGACTTGAATTAAGTCCATGCCTTGCTACTAATTTTTCTCCTAAAACACACTTGTTGGAGTGACTACTTGCTTCTGAGTAAAAGGCAAATGACCAAGTCCATGCTCCACTAACTAAAAGTCAAAAACAATAAAAGCAATGATGATTGGTAAGATTTAACATTTTTATTCTATTAACCTTTTGTAAATCAATGAAATTTGGATAAGCTAGTTGGTTGAAAGTACCAGACAAATAAGCCGATCCGAATAAAATACCAAATCATGCTTTGATATATAACGATCTCGAATTAGCGTATGCATACCTCTTATCTGCAGCATGGGTCTCCAGTATGATCATAACTACAACTCAAGATAAATATTCGCAATTGAATCACAGGGAATGGAAAAAATGTTAACAATATAACCATTCCTTTATGTCGATGTGAATTGCCTATATGCAATAACACTCTAATGTTAACTCATTGGTTTGTTGTTATTACTGTTCACTATCCCAAAAAATTATTTATACAATGTGCCACCATCCCAGAAGTAAAAACCACATCTTAGTTGTAAAGCGGCGGCTCACAGTTAAAAAGCTGTAGCTCAACCTTACTTAAGGTTAGTTTTTGTATCTACCCAAGATTTAATTATTTTGTATCCCACCTTCTCTCAGAAGTTTGTCAAGATCATTGATCAATAAGATTTTGGGTGATTACCCATAAAAAAGATGCCCTTCCCCTCCCCCCCCAAAAAAAAGGTTAAGACCACCATGGGCAATGAAAATAATAATAATAATAAATCAAGATGATACAAAAAGGAGTACTTGGAATGTCGGTTGAATAACATACACATTTGAATATATTTTGCAAAGGTTATGCTAACCAAGTTTTGTGCGGATATGTTGGACAATTAAAACAACAAAGAAAGCAAAAAGAAGAGACCAAGAACCAACAAAACCATAAACCGGCTGCAAACAGAAGCTACTAGCATGGCAAAAGAAAAAAGAAAAAAAAAATAGTACAACAGGCTAGCAGAAACAGTAGGTTGGCAGCACCAACAGGCCGGCAGCACACAGCAGCACTAGCACACAGCAAAACACAGTAGGCCAGTAGAACAGCACAGCAGAACAAACAGCACAGCAAAATTGCATCAGTAAGGCAACACAACATGAAGCTATGTTTATATGCATGATCATATAGAAATGCTAGAACTACAGTTTGCAAGGAGGCAGGGTGTCTATGGCCATCAAAAGAAAGCTATCTACAATGAACATGCGCAGAGCTAATACACAAAAAAATAAAAATAAAAGTAGGGCAATTGGTCATCCTAAAAGAGTGAAGCTGATCTAATCCTCGGTTGGAGAAGATAACAAGGCAAAGGCATAACTGAGCCAATTAACTTTCTTCTTTTAACTCATAATAACATTGTCTATGTGATTCAGTGATAACGGCTGCTTAGGTTAGTTACTGGGTAAGAGCATTACTACCTAACACATTGAATTGATCTCTGCTTGTTCCAGCTCACTTTCATATGAGTTTCCTTTGTCAGACATGTCATATGTATGCCAACATTGACACATCTGATACATCTGCTATTATATGTATTAGATATGATTTGGACATTAATTTGGATAAGCTTTCTTTGTTTTGTTTTTTATGTTTTTTTTTAAAATTCAAAATCTTGGATAAGTGAATGATATAATTACAGGTCTGAAGGGAGCACAAACCATGTGTACAGAATTGGTACAACAGACAGCCTGTATGAGTCATATGACCTATATACATCAACTAGAGAATCCAAACTCTCTAAAAAATACATTAAATTGTCTAGTGAAGGATTTACTGTTCTTGTTGTCACCCAACTACACAGAAAACTCAAAAACTGGCCTTTCAATTGATGAATAGACTCCTCAATGTTATCAAAAGAATGTCAATTCATCTCCTATGTACATTACATTAAGAAAAATACATGTCTTCTGATAAATCTCTCGTTTTCTGAAGGCTGCCTTTTGAGCAAGCATAACTATCTTGGGCTTTAGTATGGAAGTCTAGTACACAATTAGAAAATTGAATAGTACCTTCAAAACTGCACCTATGGCTACATAAGTTTATGAGCCTTTTCCATAGGAAAGTGGGTCAAAATGAAGATGCCTCTTGGGGCATGCTACAGTTTTGAAGAACTTTTTTTTTAAAACTTCTATGAACTTAAAATTATGCTTAGTGTTGTTTGCTGTTGTGGGGAATAATATTATTGAATTGGTTTCTTTTGGGAACCTACCTTGGTTTCCACTGAACCCCTAGAGGTGTACAAGCATGGTTTTGTATTCTCTTCCCCATCGACGACACATAGTATGTCAAGTGGTTATTGAATCAAGCTCAATGTTACCTTGACTCCATAACTTTTGGATTTTAAGTATGCCTTTTTGAACTTTTGTGCAAATATTGGTCAATGTGAATTTCTCTTAGAGGAGTTCTAGAGACATTTTCATGGATTATATTATAGGCCTTCAAGCACTAGCTCTAAACTATCATTATATCTGCCACATCAATAGGTGTTTAGCAAAACTTAGGGCTGGGAAAATTAAGGTTATAATGGTAGATGTAACGCCCTAAAAAAAAATACATAAAACCCATCACTTTAGACATGCATTGATATAAAAGAAACCAATCATTTCTATTCATCAGAGTAGTTCTTACAACAGTATTACATGTTAACAACAAAAGCAAATGCCCTATGGGCTTACAGCTTTCCAAGTCAACACCTAGTTACACAAAAGAAGAGTACTAGCTCAATACAACATAAGCCCTTGGCTTGATATACATGTAATACAAACAAAAAAAACAAAAAACAAAAAAAAAGTCTTCAACTCTCATCATCATCCAAGCTATGTCCTTGGAGGTGGCATATTACCTGTACCTGAAAATAATGTCCCATATAGGGTGAGCCAACGCCCAGTAGAAATATGCTAAACACAGTATGAGCAATAACTAAGACATCAGCAATTGATAAATGTTCAATTCTCATAAATCAATTCATAACCCATTTCCATTTCATGACCACTATGTTCATTATTCATTTCAGTTTCCATTTCTTATCAATTTCACAATTTACATCAACGGCTCATAACCTGGCCAACCACTTATATGAGACAGTGACTCATATTAAACGTTTCCCATTATCACAATAGATAACATACTAGTTGTATCAACATCTCAACAGATTAAGATACAAGCTGTTACCCACATTTCAACCAGATATGCCATAATTAGCTATATCAACACTTCCAAAGATAAGCATTATTGAGTTGTTCAACATTTTCCATAGATAAGCATATAGCTATATCAACACGTTTAAACTGACAAGCATATGAGTTGTATTCAGTGGAGTCCATCCCCTATCTCCTCCCAAACAACATCCGTGTTTAGAGGTCCATCCCCTATCTTCCCTAAATCGTGGAAGTACATCCCTATCTCCCTTCCACACACAGCAACGTATATACACATAGGTCATATACACAATCAATCAATAATGAACCGCTTACTGTATATAACTATCAACACATCATACTCTTATGACATAATCCAATTCAGATTAGTTTTATAGTTTACCCTAATCATCATGCGATTGTCATACAACAAAATTCAAACTACCCTCCACCGGTAGTCCAAAGCAATTATTTCTAAACAGATAATAAAAGCTCCAACAGATAAAATATCAATATTTCCAAAAGTGAGCGATTAATAAATCCAACTTCACTAATCTATCCCATAATGAGCCAATTTCATTATATTCAACTCAATTCCATAAATCCATAACTTTTCCAAATTAATTATACTAATTAATTTACATACAAATTAGGGCTTTCTTCCCCATTTCTCAATATTAACCTAATGGTTCAAATATCAACAACTTTGAAACCCTAAGTCCCAAAATCATTTCATCTAACAAAATGCCCAATAATCTAGGTTAAAACCCATAAGAGTGAGTAGGAATCCCTACCTCAAAAGATGACACCCAAAGAAGAAGATGACGAAAACGAAGTTGCTCCAAATCACAAGTTTCTCGGATCAAAATGTAGCCCTCAACGATCAACCCAACTTTTACAAAGACCAAAGGTAAGAAAACAACTTCTACTAGATCAATACTTAGAGAGAAGTTTGAGTTTTAGAGTGAGGTGCCCTCTAATGGCCTTTTCGGAAAAGTAAGAGAGAGAGAGAATGAGAAAAAGTGATTTAAAAATGCCCCACAGCCAACTGATATACGACATTCCCGCTCGAGCGTCCAAAAACAAAAACTAGGTCCGCTCGATCACGAAAACCAATCTGCTCGAGCGTAGATTTTCATCTCCTAGAACTTTTTAGAAAAAGAACTACTCGCTTGAGTGCCAACAAGTCCGCTCGAGCGCGACCCGCTCGAGCGTAGAAAACACACCTGCAGAAGTTTTGCAGACAACGAAAATATTGGAATGGTGTAAACCACGCTCGAGCGCAGAATGACCCGCTCGAGCGGACCATACAAAAACTGGGCAACAACAATGGGAGCCAAAGCTCTACCAACCTGTAACAACCAAGCCTAACACAACCTATAACTCAAACAAATGGAATCAAAAGATGACAACAAGGTAGATACAACTACCAACTCCACGGAACCAAAGTCCGGAATACAACAGATACAGAAAGGGAATACCGGAATCGCTATAGTAGAAATGGAAAAACATTATGTATCGAAACTAAAATCCAGAAAGATTTTCATAACTGTGATGGTCTAGATAAAAGTCCATTTATCTTGTTTGTTTCTATATGATAATTATGTTATATCATGTGATTGACTACAGATGTGTAGCGGCATATACTTCAGATCTAATATTTCTTTCTGTGAGTTTGAATCCTTACCGGATGAAGAATTAAAAAACAACTTCTATTAGTCTAGATCATGCGTAAGTATACATGTCCTTTTTCTCTGTTATTAATTCTACTATTACAATTTTACATACATATTTACTTCCTGTGAAAATCAGTAAATCAATTTAGCTAGCAGGAAAAATATCTTACGACTACCCACTTGGTTGCATTACTACAAACATTCCAGATTTGCAACCGACTAAAAGAGCAGAATCGAGATTGCAACTTTGGCTATATATGTCTATTATTATTTAGTTATTTAGTCAAATATCATTGTAAAAAAACTAAAAACAAAAAACCGCCTTTATTAACTGCTGAGTTGTGATGTCAAGTAGAAATAAAAATCTATAGTGCAACTCATAAATTAATAATGGGGCTTTTAGTTATTATTTAACTCAATAGTCTATGGTTGCTATCCTGACTTGTAGAAACACTAACTTAAAAAATTTGAAGTCTCCAATGTATTTTTGCTACCATGAGATCTATATATAGCTAAAACTTGAAATATGTTTCATATCAACCACTATAATACATTGTCTAGATAAAGAGATTGGCAAGAGAGAGAGAACGAAAACCTTAAAATTAGGAGCATTTCTTCTTATATTGATCACACTTCTTGTGACATATTTCTTCTTTAACTCTTTGAGCTTGCTTCCATGTTCTCGACTCAAAGTTCTGTGGCTGCTATCAGAAGGTTGGCTGAAGACCAACATGGATCCAATTTGCTTGTGCCTAAGTTATTATGGTTTAATGTTGCCCCACCTAAAACCCAATTTTTTGGCTGGTTCGCTTGGTAATGGAGGGTGAAAGTAGCTGACTATTTGCAAAAAAAAATATGATGCTCTAGTAATGTTTGCCCTTTTTGTAAAAGTGAAGCTGAATCTAGCAACCATGTTCTATTACAGTGCTCTAAAGTGTGGAAGATATGGCCTGAGCTACTAAATTGATGGGGTTTTCAGTGGGCAACTTGTAGCAGCTGCAAAAACAGCTCTGCAGCAGCAGCAGCAGCAAAAGCACTAAATTGGTGGGGTTTATGGTGCCTATGTTACGTGTTAAGATACATAAAATATCAATGTACAATTGAATGCTTAACTACTTTAAAACATTTAACTGGGAGGGAGGGGGGCGGGGAGGACCAATTTGGTCCATGCCTTGGTTACTTAGGCTTCATATATTAAGAAAAGGAAGTCATCTACTAAATAGAATTTATCTAAATTATGGTAATGTTTGTCTCCCTCTCAATATATAAAGTATGTTTTAAGGTCTTTGGGTGAAAGATCTAATTTCGTTTTTAGTTGAGTACATCCAATTGCTAAGACAATTTTCTCCAACTCTCTGTTTTAAAAAAGAAGATTAGAATCCATCTTCAACAGCCACAAAACACAGTATTATTTTAATTAACACAACAAAAATAGAAAAATACCTCCGTATACCAGCTCGTCATTCCTCCTTTGGACAGAGCACACCGGATATAGATGTCACTTTATCAAAGAAATCAAATTCTCTTCGAAACGCATCAGTAGCCTTGGGAGTGAATCCATCAATTATTTGTTGCCTAACAACAGACAATAGCTCTAGAAATGAACTATTCTGAAAATAACAAGGATACATCCAAGTGATTAAGCAAAGAGTCAGAAAAACTCAGGCAGTGAAAATGTTTCCTATGATTAAAGAAAATCACAATTTACTGTCATAAGATCATGCAACTTATGCACACCAGTAGAACAAAACTCTAACAATAGATATATATAGCCAAGATCCAGCCCCTAAAACATGCAGGTATATTGGTACACATGAGTTGCATGATACTATGTTTTCAAGAAAGAAATGTCATGACCGTATTATTGCTGATGGTATCTATGGTGGAGTTTTGAAAGACTTGAGAGCAAGGTTAAAAACAAAAGTGATGTTGCATTTTGAGGCAATAACTCTCTACTTCCACTGGAAGCGTTCTTTTTGGCTTTCTTTTGTTGTTTTTTCTGCTAGAAAACAACAAAGTGCATCTATTATGTTATCCAAAATGACACATACCACACAAATATCATTCAGGGGTTAAAATTGATGGACTATAGAAGCAGAAAAACAAGTCTTTACCAATCAGCCCAAATAATCAGCTTCATATGACTAGGTAAAGAACGAAAGTAAATAATTTGACTGTACTAGTAGCTTCAAAATTTACACTAACTGAATTCACATTAGAACATCTCCAATCCTTCATGAAGTTTAAATTTGGTGAAAATAAGATCCAATCCATTCACCAAGGTCATGAAAGCTACAAATAATTTCTCCAAACAATTAATGTCCAATTTGTTAAGGCTCACGAAGAACTACCACAACTCCAATTACTTATTTGTGTTTATTCAAAAAATTATACAGATTGGAAAAGTTAACATACAAAAGGCCTCATATTTGTTTAGAATCATCTGGTTTCAAAAGCCTCAGCCATCTTGAAGCATGTGACACATGCAATACACCTAACACGGTGCCTAACTTACAATTCAAATAAAACATAGATTATGTTGGCACCAGTAAAGGATTAATTTTACAGAATAACACCTCTATTTACATCTTCAAGTACACCCATTCATAAGTCCATGGTAAGTTGTGCCCAAAATAAACAAAAAATGTGGGCCAATACCCAAAATTGAATCTAAAAATAAATTAATCAACAAGATGTATGGATAATCAACTACTAATTACAGCTTGCCCAGTTGGCCAAAACACCAGGACCAAAGTAGGAGGTCAAGGGTTTAATTCTATGCAAGATTTCCTCTTCCCCCATGCTATGGCCTCCGATGTACCCAAAAGCAAAGAAGAAAAAAAGAATAATGAATAAATATTTTTTGGATAGACATACCTTCGCAGATCCTTCATCTTTCCCTGATTCCAGCACTGTCTCACCCTGTTTATGGCAGACAGATAGTCACTATTAAGCTAAAACATGTTTGACATTTGAAGCACATTATCTTAAAAATGCATTTGCTTTCATCAATATAATAAGAAAAAGCAGCCATTTATTCAATTACATGACTAAAGCAAAAATTTCCAAACCTGTAAATGCCATATCAGAATATGAGCAAATATATCACAAAAGGGGCATAAAAAACAGAGAACTCACCAGAAATTTCAAAAGGCTTTTGATTTCAAAAGACAAATTTGAGTGAGTAACTTCAATGGTGGTTCAAAGTTGTGATGAAGAAAATGAATTAGGGCTTCATTTCAGAAACTGAAGGCACGGAGAAGAGACCTATGCTGTTTGTGAAAATCAATTGTTGGGAATGGAAAGAGTCGTGCTCTCTCATCAATCGTGGGTAGAATAGGCGCGAATTTGGGAATAGTATTTTATATAAAAATCAAATTGAAATATTTTATACAATCACACTTATTTAGGGAGTGTTATTAAAATATATATATATATATATATAATCACACTTATTTAAAAAGTGTGATTAAAAATAAATATTATCCTTAAGTATTATTAATAGTGTATATATGATCACACTTTAATTAAAAAGTGTGATTAAAAAAAATATATATATATATATATATATATAATCACACTTAATTGAAAAGTGACATAAAAAATACATATTATCACACTCAATCAAATAAAATGTGATTAAAATATCAATCTAATTTTTTTTATCACACTTTCAATAAAACTGAGATATTTTTATTTGTCAAAGTGTGATCTTTAACTATTTTTGTAGTAGTGACAAGTCTCACACTTATGATTTGGATTAATCTTGAAAGATGGTATATGATCTAACTTAATTAATTTACACAAAGAGTCGAATTTACATGACCTAATCTACCATACCATAATTTAGGGGGACTCAAGCATATAAGCAGAAGAATAAACTTTCTCATTAATCTTTGGGGATAATAGTCACTAGATTTAACTTGAACATACCACCCGACATATATCTCTTCTCCATATACACTATACTTTTGGTCAACACGACCTTTTCGGATTCAAAAATCACACGGAAACCATGTTTGCTTAAGAGAGACCCCGAGAAAAGTTTTTTGCAAATGTTCAGCACATCGTTTAGAGTCAGCTCTTTTCCTGAAGTCATTTTCAGGACCACTTTGCCCTTTCCCTCAGCAATTGAGGTTGCAGAAGTCCCCATGAACAACTTCTCACCATTTGAAATCGGTTCGAAAGTTGTGAACATCTTCTTCTTTACACAGATGTAGCGAGTGGCCCCAATGTGCACCCACAATTCCTTCGGATTAGATCCCACCATGTTCACCTCAGTGACAATAGTTAAAAGATGCATATCATCTACATCTTGAGAAAGATTCTCCATTTCAGCCGTGTGAGGTCAAGCCTTGTTCTTTGGAGGATTCTTCTTGTATGGCTTCTTATTCTTGCGACAGTCAACTGCTCTATACCCATCACTATAACAGTTGTAGCACTTTCCATTAAACCTATAAGTAGGCTTTTGTGGCTTGTAGAGCGGCCTCATCGTGGCACCACCTCTAGGCCCCAATTTTGAGCCTTTGTTTAGTGGTTGTTTCTTCTTGACCCTCAAAGATTGGCCATGCTCAACCATATTTGTTTTAACAACAGGGGTACTCCCTCTTTCTTTCTGTTATCCTCTTCAATGAGGAGTCTGACAGCGAGCTCTTCGACTGTCATCTACTTTTGCTTGTGCTTCAAGTAGTTTTTGAAGAGTTTCTAATCGTGAGGTAGCTTCTCAATCAAAGCAGCTGCTTGTAATAATTCACTCAACAACATTCTCTCTGCATGAATCTTATGTAGAATTACTTGGAAATCTTGGACTTGGCTTATGATGGTTTTAGCGTCTACCACTTTGAAATCCAAAAACCGGCTAGACAAATTTCTTCGCTCCAGCATCCTTGGTTTTGTATTTCTTGTCCAAGGAGTCCCACAACTCCTTTGTTGACTTTTTAGCATAAAATGCATTGAACAATGTATCTGCTAAGTCGTTTAACACATAATTTCGACAAAGGAAGTCCGACTGCTTCCAAGCATCCAGAGCCATGAGTTTTAGTTTATCTCGCTCATTTTCCTCCATAATTGGTGGATCCTCACTTACAAACCTAGCAAGGCACAGAGTTATTAGGTAAAACAACATTTTTTATTGCCATCTCTTGAAATTTACGTTTGTGAATTTCTCCAAAAGCTCATGATGATTGAGGTCCTTCCAGAACAGCAAGGTTACCAACAGGATTGACCACAGGGGTCACAACAAGGGTTGTCATGCCAATTAACATGGGATTTGGATCCCCACCAACATTCATTGCTTCGACACTAGCTGCAGCAACATCAGTCATAGTTGCCAGTTTTGAAAAGACAACAAAATTTCACTGTTTTGTTTTTCCCAAAAACAAACTTAACATTAGAAAATCTCGAAGTTTAAAATTTAATTCAAAACTAATCACACCACTAACTTCAAAATCGAATAAGGTTATGAAAGTTTCTAAGAAGATTAGAGGGGTCACAACAGTTCCACTTAAAATCTCACTAACCTTAGACAAAACTTTCAAGAGCCTGTTGACTTCTTATCAATGGGAAAAAATTTAGAATTAAGTTTTCGGGGGGTAAACCAGGTTAAACAAGTCTGAAAACGAACTTCCAAGCAATTAAAAATTGCTGCCCAACTTACAAACAAATGCCCCCAAAATTTAGAAGCAAATAAAATTGCTTTAATAAAAATAAAACTACAACCAATCCAAATAAGGATTCTAGAGTCGAAAAATTCCTTCTACGCTTAGGTATTTCTGTTCAACCACTACAAGAATTTACACATTTGCCGACCACTTTTGCCGACCAAAAAAATTTTGGTCGCGAAAAAATGACATTTGCCGACCAAAATATTAATTAGTCGCGAATGCTAATTATTTTTGGCGACCAAAATGAGTTGGTCGCAGAAGGTCACATTTTGGCGACCAAAAATGAGTTAGTCGCAGAAATTGGTATGCTTTTGGCGACCAACTTCAAATTTGGTCGCGGAAGGTTACATTTTGGCGGCAAAAAAAAATTGGTCGCCAAATTAGTACTTTTAGCGACTAATATTTTAGTTGCCGTTGATTGAGATTTAGCGACTAAAAAAATTTGTCGGCGAAAGTACCTTTTCTGCGACTAATCTGGTCATTTGGTCGCGAAAAGTTTGGGAGGGAAATTTGAAACATGAAGGGGGAAGTGAAAATTTTTTGTGACAAAAAAAAATTTGGTCGCCATTTATTAAACGACGTCGTTTTGTACCTGGAAAATAGAAAAAAAAAATTAAAAAAAAGGCCCTGATCTCCTCTCTGTCTCCAACTCGCTCTCTGTGTAGTATGTTCATCCGCCCTCTCCCTCTCTCTGTGTTCTCTCGCTCAATCAGTGCCCACTCTCTCTAGCTCACCGAAGTCCCTTGCCACCATTGCTCAAGTCCGTCGCACATCGCCATCGCCATCGCCCTCTGTCTAATGGACTCCTCATTTCTGGGGGATCCTCACCCAATCTCACCTCACCGCTGTTTCTCGCTCTCTCCCTCTCTAGCCTTTGTCCTCGGTCTCTCTCTATCTATATATATATATAATGCGGTGATCATTCGTACAGAGAGGGATTTGAGCCATGATTGATGATTTTGAAGAGGTTTGTCATGATTTTGCGGTATGATTTTGAGTTCGGTTCGGTTCGATCCTCTGTTCAGTTCGCAATCTGGGCGGTGGGCGGTGAGTTCGGTTCGATCCTCGGTCGCGATCTGGGCCGTGGTTCAATCCTCTGTTCGGTTCGAATCTCAGTAAGTTTGAGTTCAGTTGTGTGTTTGTTTTAGTGATGTGGATGATGGCTAATTGAAATGGGATAATTTGATTTTAGGGTTTTTTTTTTTTTTTTTTTGGGGGCAATTTGAGCAAGCGAAACATGACCAAATGATGAAACAACAGTGCTCTTCTTCGATTTGGGGAAGACAAACCAGAGAAATTTTGTTTTTACCGCAAAACCAGCTTCAGCAATAGATGATGGGTCAAAACAGAGGAGGGAGAGTTGTTAATGGAGGTGGGTTCGAGAATAATAATGGAAGATATGCGAGGCCACTGGGTTTGCCTCAGTCTGCATGGCCTCCTTTGATGGATGAGGATTTTGATGCTGCCAATGCATTAAATTCAGAGAACAAGTACCGGTTCGAGCTCGAGTTGAGAGTTCATGTAGTCAGGATTCAGTGGTGTTGTCTACAAATTCTGTTAGAGTTAATGGGTTTTCTTCTGTTAGGAAGAAAGAGAGACTTGGGTCTTTGATTGGTAATCACTGTTTGAGCACTGGGTTTGAACTCCAATAGTAGAATAGTAGTCCATTTTATATTTGTAATTGTGAATAGTATTTGCAATTTGGATAAGCAAACCACAAACAATTTTAGTAATAATGAGAATAATGGGCATACAAATTTGAATGGAAAGATTGACATTGATGCAATTTCCCCAATTTCACCTAATATTTTTTTATCTAACAGTCAATGAATTTGGACCACAAAATGTATTTTGGGTGAGAATTGTGATTATAATTCTGAATTTTGATATTTTTAGACACTACAGCTTCTTGCTGAAGTGGCTGTTTTGGAAGAGGAGGTTGTTAGGCTTGAAGAACAGGTTGTGCATTTCAAACAACGCCTTTATCAGGAAGCTGTTTGCAGAATAATTTCATTACCTGAACATTGAATGCCTAGATGATTTTCCCTTTTGAATTTTTCAGTCTTGTGCATTTTCCTGGAGTCTTCTAAGTTCTATTGCTCTGAACATTGAGGCATTCAAGTCGAAATTGATAAAGATAATAAGTTTGAGCAATGTTTAGAAAATTTCTATATAATGTTGTGTCACAGGTTGTTAAGGTGGCTGATTTTGGAGGTGCTAGAGTGAAATCTCAAACTGAAGTTATGATGGCAGAAACTGGGACATATCGATGGATGGCTCCTGAGGTGGGAAAAGTTTTGGAACCTTTTCTGTTCAAAATTGGTTGTATGTTTTGTTACTGATATCTTCCCTCTCTGATCGAGATTGCAGAAATTAAATTATGTATGTGACTCTAGATGTTATAATTGTTTCATCTGTATGATTTTGATTATAGCTATGATTGGGACGTGGATGCCATTTACTTAGCATTTACTTTGCCTAGGCTTCAAGGTCTGATTTTTAATCAGGTCACTCCCAGTATATATTTTACAAAAATCTGGTTGTTAGCTGGCTGTGATGTCCCTATAGGGTAAATAATAGCGAAGGGAGGAAAAGAAAGAACATACTTCCAACACGAATTTGTTTCAGATCTTTCTCTCTCTCTCTCTCTCTCTCTCTCACACACACACACACACACACACACACACACACGCGCGCGCGCGCGCGCGCACGAACACACTAAATTGTTTGGTGATTTAATATGGGCAATGATTTATGTCCAATACAAAGTGGCTGGATCTGTAGGTTTTGTTGGGTTGTTATAGGGTGGCCACATTGGTGCTTGAGTTTGGAAAAATCTAAGAAAAGAGTTATGAAGCAGTAGTGAAGACATAAACATGATTTAGTAGCCAAATAAAATCCATCATTTGCTTGCTACTTTTTCATTACAAAAATGTTAGGGACTCCAAATATTCTATCAAAAATGCTACCAAACTCTCGCATGGCTGTGGGTCCCACACCCCTGTGAGTTTTGGTAGATTATTTTGTATGCTTATCGTTACTCTTTTCTTTAATGTGAATGGGTAATTAAAGTAATTACTTTATCTGTCTGGTAGTTATGCATTTTTATTGGGGGATTGATTTTTTTGGGTAGTTGCTTATGATTGTTCTTTTGCATTGAAGGTTATAGAACACAGCCCTATGATCACAAGGCTGATATTTTTAGCTTCGGGATTGTATTGTGGGAGTTGCTAACCGGAAAGGTATATTGTTCTGTGCGACAACTATTGGATTTTTGTATTTCAAGCTATTTGTATAGTTATATTCTATTTAACCCCATTCAGATGATGGGCGAGGGAGAGAGAACCAGAATACATAACTCTGCATTCTTAAGAAAATGGCATTACAACAAGAACCAAACATTTTCTAATTCTTCAAAGAACAAATGGTCATTGAATTTGAAAATACAAACAATCAAGACTCCAGTAAAGAGACCTCCCATTGAGGATAGACCACCTGAGAGGTGCTTAGATCCTCAAAAGTTAGAGGTATAAGCTCAAATAACACCAAATTTCATTTCGTTAAGAGTCAAGTCTCTAGATTGCTGTGGAATGAACACGGGCTTTTTGTATTTCCAGCTAGAATGCAGAGTTACAGACCATGAAAGTGCAGAAGTGACAACTCCTATTATTTCCTTTTCTTTTAGATTGCAGAAGTGACAACTCATAATTGGTTCCACCTTTTCTTTTAGATTGCATAGCATTTTGCATCACTTCCATTTGTTTCCTTTCCGCTTTCCTTCTGTCATATTGAACTTTTTGCATATTTTTCATTCTTGCATTGGACACGCGAAAGGAATTTTGGCCCATCCACTCATTTCAAGCCTTTATTCCTAGTCTTGTCTTTAAGCCTTATACAACCTTCATTGGACACGCAAAAAGAATTTTGTTGATTTATAATTGCTTAGCATAAAGTGTCTTGCTCTCTCATAATTTTTGAATTACTTGGATTGACATGTGTTTTCATGCAGCTGTCCCAATTACTTGGCTTTTGAACAATCATTTCTTCTTCCTAGTCATCCTTAACGAGTCCAAAATGTTTATTTAATTATTTATTGATATTTTTTTCCCTCTCTTCTTGTGTAGCTGGAAAAGGAGATAATAGATCTGACTCTGCAACGAGACGTTGCTCAATCTCAGGTTCAGGATTTGCTATGATTGGCTGGGGATGAAGATTCAATGGTATGGCTAAATGTTAGTTAGTTAATTGAATCTTCCATTCTATCTTCATGTGCCTTGTCCTGTTAAGTTTCCTTTCTTCTTTCCTCTTCCAGGTAGGTTTGAATAACTACCCTCACTTGCGAGTTCAGAAATCGCCAGATTCTGGAAATGCAACATCAAAAGCATCCCCTTCATCATATCCTCACTTCTTGGATGTTAGTGTCAGAGCATTTGACAGATCTCTGTCTTCTTATAGACGTGTGAGTAGTTTTGTTGATCACTACATACAAATTCCCAACTTTGAAGAAAACTTTCAGCAGAATGATGCTTTTCCACACCTATTGGTCACTACTGCTAGCTTTATTAGAAGCAATTCCGCAAATAGTTAGGACGAGATTAAGGAACAAACTAACAGAACTTCAGAGGATTTATGCAAGGACGTTCGATGCATTGAGACGGTAAGTACAGACCAAAATTCAAAATCCTATAGATCATTCCCTGAAGAAAATACCAGAATCTCAGAATTGATGATGGATGAGAATGGAGACAGAATGGATCAGGAAGACAGAACCGATCAGGAATTTGTGTCACAGCCAAACGAGGAAGATAGAGGGTTAAGTTACATCCCTCCTTTCGTTGCTCCTTCTCCTGAAATAACATCTCCGTGGCCGTTAAGAAAGTATACATGTAGCTCTCAAAGCTTGCAGTTAACTAGAAGTAGCAGTTGTAAAGAAAGTTTAATGACTAGACCAAATTCGCCATTGTTTGAGAAGGTAGAAAATAATGAGAACACACCACCAAATGGGTTTGAGAGAGTCTTCACCCGAAGACCTGAAGGTATCCGTAGTAAGCTTTCTGAATTAAACCGTGGTGCTGATGTTGAGAGGTTATTGAGAAAAGGTTTAGAATCTTCTATCGGGAGTGCTGCTGCTATTGAGCTTGAAGCACAGGACACACTGCCAAATGGGTTTGAGAGAGATTTCAATAAAAGACCTGAAGGTATCACTAGAAAGCTTTCTGAATTAATTTATGGTGTCGATGCTGAAATGTTTTTGAGAGAAGATTCTCAATCTTTTGATGAGAGTGATGCTGCTATTGAGCTCAAAGCAGAATCGCAGGACAAAATTTCAACTAATGAGAATATTACTAGCATCAATTCAAGTGTCACAGAAATGGAGGAAAAGGCTGAGCTTCAGCACGAGGAGCAAGTTGCTGATAGCCTGGTGAGTTTTATACTTAATCGAAAAATGGCCGTAAAAAGTTATGCCTCAAAACATTGCCATGGCAAGAATTTTTGAACGAAACCTAGAGTTCCTTTTACTTGTCATTTTATGTTTCGTCATTCCTGGCAGGTGCATGAGGCTGAACCGAAAGCCATGGAATCTATAAAAAGTGTGAAAGATGTTGGTTTGGATCCAATAGAAGATTATTCAATTTCAAAGAGTCCTTCAAACTGGCCCTTAGAATTCAAGAGGCTACAAAGAGAAATTATTGAACTTTGGCATGCTTGCTATGTGTCATTGGTGCACAGAACCCACTTCTTCCTTCTATTCAAAGGTGACCTGACAGACTCCAAGGGATATTGTTGCTAATGTGAGGCGTTTGTTGAATGGTGAGCAACTGGTGCCGATGGATCCATGGTACAAAGGGTTCAGAGGAACCATTGAGAAGACAGCAACCAAAGAAGCTGGGGTTAGCTGCACTGTGTGTGGAATTATGGAGGAAATCAACGAATCTACACTTAGGATTACAGAGCTGCCTATACGACGATGGACTGAAGATTATAAAGAATTTCTTGAATCAATTATGACAGGAAATGATAAATTCAAGAATTTCATTGATTTTCCTTTTAATTTTTGTTCAATTATTTATTGGTTTTCAATGGATGGATGTTTAAAACTTGTCTCAATTAATGTTTTGAATGAAATGATTGCAAAGTTTGGGATTGAGCAGGAAAATATGATGAATTTTAATGTTATATTTGGGTTGATGAATTTTAATGTTATAATTGGGTTGGGTTGAATGAATTTTGTTCAATATTGGATTAAATGTTTACAAACAAAAATTGATTGTTAAAAAAAAGAGATTTGGCGACTAACTAATTAGTCGTTGATTGTTTAATATCTTTTGGCGACTAAATAATTGGTCGCCAAATTCTACACTTTTGCGACTAAAATCATTAGTCGGCAATTCCTTACCTTTTGGCGACTAAATTATTAGTCGGCGATTCCTCAACTTTTGTCGACGAAAACAATTGGTCGTCGAATTTTTGCTTTTGGCGACAAACATATTTGGTTGGGAAAATATCACTTTTCGGCGACTAAATAATTGGTCGCCAAATTCTACACTTTTGCGACTAAAATCATTAGTCGGCAATTCCTTACCTTTTGGCGACTAAATTATTAGTCGGCGATTCCTCAACTTTTGGCGACGAAAACAATTGGTCGTCGATTTTTTGCTTTTGGCGACAAACAAATTTGGTTGGGAAAATATCACTTTTCGCGACCAAAGTGTTTTAGCGACTAAATGAATTAGTCGCGGTAATGATATATTTAGCGACCAAAAATTTAGTCGGCAAATCCAACTTTTCCCGACCAACCAAAATTTTGGTCGCGAATTACTTTTGCCGACCCTCAATTGGCGACCAAAGTAGCGACCAAAAAAATTGGTCGCGGATAACTTTTGCCGACCAAAAATAGGCTTTTAGCGACCAAATTTTTGGTCGGCAAAAGCGTTAATTCTTGTAGTGAACAAAAAGATTAGTAGTCCAATTTAAGTTTTACGGTCCCAATGAACATTCATTTGTTTTGTTCTTATTTTTCCATTTCTTTTCACATAGGTATACCTCTAAAGAAATTAGTAGAAAAACATAACAAGACACAAAACAAATAATCTAAAATTGCAAAGTCTTAGGCACTGAAATTAGACACTTTTTCCCCCTCTAACAATCTACGTAATAGCAAAATCAATTAACTAAAGAATAAAATGCTAGACAAGTTACTACACAAAAGAAAGAAAAAAAAAAACTTCAAGTAATTAAATTAAATTTAATAGTCAAGAGTTATATAAAAATACTAAATAATAAACATGCCAATAATACTAGAAAAACCTAGAAAGTAGTAAACATGCTAATAATTGTAGGAAACTAGAAAGCAATAAACATGCAAAGTAAACTAGAAATTAGAAGGCAATAAGCATGCAAATTAACCTAAAAACTAGAAAATAATGAAGAGCATGCAAATTATACTAGGAAACTAGACTACAACCAAAAACCACTATTTGCATATATTTTTTTATGTTAATTTAAAAAACAAAGAACAAATAAACTAAAGAAGTAATATTTTCTTAGAAAAAATTAGTCCATTAGAAATTGCTCTGCTTTGTAAAATGAATCTGTCTGTCTAATTTATGGAGAAACAAATAATTTGTTTTACGATTGTTGTATAAAATGTATATTTAATTAAAAATAAACAGATTCAAATTTATCTAAATTTAGATTACACAATAGAAAACAATGGAACTAATTCAAACTAGATATTACAATTCGATGAACATAAATATATAATCAAACCAAACCAAGCTTTAAATCCCATCAAATGGGGTTTGCTACATAAATAAAATGAACACATGTCGGAATAAAATAATATACTAAAATGAAAATCGAGAAATGTAAACCGAAACCTGTGAAACCACACTTTTCGTAAAATAGATTCACTGCATCACCATTAGGTGGTGGAGGTATGCTGACGTTTGTCTCCCAACATACGTCGATCGAAATCAATTAGAGTAGAAGCACCTTTTGAATAGCTTCGACAAATTTTGACAATGGCAACACTCTCCCACACTCGAAAGAATAATATATGCAGACAAACAACATAGCTAGAGAGCAAAATTTTGAGTACTAAACTAAAGGAAGGTGATCTTTATTTATCCACAAGAAGGAGAGATGAGGAGCCTTCAGTCATGAAGGTTAGCAACCAATGCAAAAATGAATTCTGCAAAATTGATGGAGTAAATCACCATACTCGGCCCGATCTGGGCGCGTGTGTGGCGCTTTTTTGTGTAACTAACTTGGACTATAATCTTGGACCAAACCTACCATTGAAGTATCCATAACTCCCTTTTTTTCAGAAGATTTGGTTGTCCTAAAGGGCTCCACCTTTATAAAAAATAGAGATTTAAATATCCATCAATGTTTTCCTCTACAAATAATGTGGGATAGGTGGTTACACACCTTTCCCGATACCCCCCTTATTCATGAAGCCAACTTTATGACACAGTTCTCATTCAAATCTTAATGATTTTTTGTCATTCTTTTTGTAGTGTAAGAATCTTATTTCAAAGAATCTAAACCCACTCAGACCAAACTTGACCGATGGTAGGACCCATTTTAATTTCACATTAAAATTACTAAAAAAATTATTTTTTTCCAACAAAGTTTTCTAGAAGAAGTAAGAAATCACAACCCCCCCAAAAAAAAACTTTTATTTATTTATTTATTTGTGTTCTTCAAACCCTCCTCAAAGATAACGTATGGGTTGAAAGGTGGGTGATAGCAAAGCTTTTGAAGCTTTCAAAGAGAGTACAAGTTGCAAGGGGCTCTTGTTTACAGTACCTAACTAACATAAAAGAAATAGGGTTAATGATCAACTAAATTATTTAAATTTGACTTGTGTCAAGTTAATTTTATGTTTAAAATAAATAATAATAAAAAATTAAGCTTGTTCGTTTGGATTTTCAAGATTCATTTTTCAGAAAATTAAAATTTTTTATTTTCATATTTTTTTAATTTTACTATTTTTTTTAATATTCTAAGATTTTTTTTTAAATTTTTTTTTGATACACCTAACATAAATATACTTAAAAATTATAATATTTGTGAAAAAAACTCTTTAGAAAATTCACTAAATACCAAAAACACAAAAAAAAAAAAATTGAAAATTCAATACATTTTTCGTATTCTTGTGTATTGATTAATTTTTTAAAATATTTTTTTATAAATATTTTACTTTTTAGATACATCTAAGTAAGGTGTATGTAAAAAACTAAAAAAATTGCTTAAAACTTAAAAAATATTCATTAAAAACAAAAAAAAAACATTAAAAAATAAAAAACTCAATTTTCAGAAAATTGAAACTAAAAACATTGAATACTTTTCGAACATCGTTAATTTCTTGAACTCGATTCGATAAATTTTTATACATATATATATTATAAAAAAATTAAGTTTTTCGAGTTCAACTCTATTAAAACTTATTCAAGATGAGTTTAAATAACAAATGAGTAAAATTTGAACACATTTTGAAATTTCTTAAATTTTGAAGTTAAACTCAAACCACTCACTATTGGATTCGAATCAACTTGATAAGTTTATACATACTATAAAAAATGAAATTAATTGAATTCGACTAAACTAGAACTTATTTGAGATTATCTTAAGGGTTAAATCAATTAAAATTCAATAGATTTTTAAATTTGATAAAATTTCAAGCAAATTGAAGCAACTTACTACTCAAACAACCTATTACTAGATTAGTCTCAATTCATTTAGAAAAAGTTAAATAGAAAAAATGTCAATAGAAGAGGCAAAATATTTGTGCTCTCCTCTATTTCTATTTCTATAAAATAAAATAAAATAAAACATTGTTAAGCATAAACGTCACCCTCAACCCCTCTCTCTCTCTCTCTCTCTCTCTCTCAAAAGTCTCTCTTTAAAATATAGACTTGCATGCACATAAATCTTCCAAATTGAAACAAACCACCCACTTTTAAAATGTAGCTTTATGTCTTGTTGAGAGATAATAAAAGAGAGGGGAACAAGAAATCCGTGAATTTCGCCTACTCAAAGCAACCGACTTTGATAATAAAAACCCCAAAATAAGTCATTATAAACGACTACATTACATTCATGACTATGACCATTGCTCTCTCTATTTATTGAAGAGATTTTTTGGAACATTATCATATTGTAGTGATTAAAAAAAATAAAATAAATTACACTCACCTTTTTTAAAGATTTGAAAGAAGTACAATTAACAATACACTTTTGTCACAATTATATATTGACTTCCCTCAAAGTTGTAAATCACATAATATTTAGGCCATTTTTATTAATAATTCATTAATTATATGAATGAAAAATAAATGTTATCATATTTTTTGTTTATTTTATTATCTGCTTACCATTGTCATTAATTTGGTCGTTTTAATCATACTAAAAATATATTAGAATAATTATATCAAAAGTGTGAGCTAATAGTATTTTAACTTATGAAGAAAACCTCATAAGTTTTTAAGCCTATGTTTACAAGCGTGAACTTGTATAATAGTATAACTAGTTCTAAACAATTATTTAAATAATTTTATTTGTAAAATGATGATATATTGCTTGATCTTTGAGAAATTTGTAATTATGTTGTGAATGATAGCAAAGTTTATGAAAACCGTGATTCAAATCCAAATCGAACCACATTTTCATGGTTCGGTTTGGTTCGTTCCAAGATTTTCATGATTCGGTTTGGTTCCAAAAATTTTGATACCGTAGGTTGAGGATTGGTCTTGGTTTATTTCAAAGCCAAACCAAACCATGTTCACCCCTAATCCCGCTCTTTCAAATTTTTAATCGCATAACAATTGACTCTTTTAATTAATCAACTATTAAGTCAATTACTGTAATAATTTTTAATGATGTTAGAAATATATTTCAAATAACAATTTTAAGAGTTTTATTATTGTATAGGTGGATAGTTAAAAAATTTATTTTTTCTGTTAACCCTGTTAAATGACAAATTTTAATAAAAAAATATTTATAATTTTCGTAATCATAAAAAAGGTAATAATTTAAGAAAATCTAAAAACGTTTGTATGTTGTTGTTGTTGTTTTTTTTTTTTTACCCTTAATTTTAAAACCCTGCCCTGGGAAGTATCTTTAATTTTTAGGGCAAATTACCAACACTCCCTTCGAGATTTGATTAAAATACGAATTCTCCCTAACGTTTGGGAAATTATAAATTACCTCATGAGATTTATATTTGCATAACAAATAATGGGACAATTTGTTATACAAATATGAATCTCAGGGAATAATTTGTTATGTAAATATAAATTTTAGGAGCAAAATATAATTTCTCAAATCTTAAAAGGAAATCTATATTTTAGTCAAATCTCCGTTGGGGGTGTTGATAAGTTGCCTTAATTTTTAAGCTCTGTCCTTGCCATTTCTCTTCATTGACCTCACCCTTAAAAAGCCAGATTAGACGCAATAGCTAGGCCACCTTCTTCTTTTTTTTTTTTTTAATATAAAATTGAAAATGATATGATTTAGAACAATATTGTCCTCTCATATTACCATTATCTATTAAAACATCTCCATCATCATGTGATAATTCTACGAGTTGTGGTTAAGATGCTAAAAATATTAAAATAATTAAAATTTTAATATATATATATATATATTATCTATTTTTTTTTATACATATTATCATTTTTTTTTTAACATCTATATACATGTTAATGACTACCCATTGAGCTATCATTAACATTTCATTTTGAAAAATAAAATAAAATTTATTTTATCCTAATATCAACAGTGTAAACCACATGTAATTTAAAAATAGCCCATCTAGGAAGAGGTACAAAATAAATGATGTAGTTCAAAGGAGAATAAGAAGACGAGGAGGTTTTTTAGATCAATTTACAAGTGTTGTTAATTTTCAGCTTTGTTTGGGATGTGAGGCGGTTTTTTGACTTTTTGGCTATTTTAGTCTAGGGCTAAAAAGTCTCGTTTGTGATAGGCTTTAATTTTTTTGACTTTTGTGAGAGAAAAAATGAAATGATTATGATTTGAATGTAACATTTTGTCTTATTGGGTTAAAAAAATTTATTTTGTCTTTTTTAACTGTTTTAGTCAAAAAATTCAAAAATTTCATATGCCAAACGAAGGCTTCGTTATATCTTTTAGTTCAAAATCACAAGAACTTATTATTTATAAATAATGTGGTCATATTCACCCGACTAATACCACAATGCTTAAGTAAAATTTGTATAAAAAAATAAGAATAAACATAGAAATAAAAAGTGGGGGTTCCAATCTTACAGCCTCAATTCATGGACCTCTCTTTCCCATGCTTGTTTATATAATTAAGTGGGAATATTTAGGTGCATGTGACATTCCACAATTGATTAGATTCAATTAAATTGATAATGTAAATGCTCCTTAATATATTAAAATTAAATGCTCCTTAATAGCTGATTGGTTGATAATTTGTTAATGGAATATGTGATCACTCACAAAGTAATTCAATTTCGTTTTGTTTTGGACCTTATGATGCTTTATTTGTTGAAACAAATTATCTTAAGAATAATGTTATATGTACTAATTGGTATATCAATTAGTATACTAACAGATGATGTAACATAATTTTAGAGGTTTTGGATATTTGTAATTTGTATAATAGCTACGGTCAGTAATATTGACATAAAGTATGCTAGTATATTAGTTGGTATACTAATTGATGTATATAGTATTACCGTAATCTTAAACATAGTGATGTGAATATTGACATTACTAATGCTGTGTTAAATATAGGCATGATTTATTCACATTTCACCTATCTTTTCCATTTCCCTTTCCAAATCCCTCCCCAAATCGCTCAACCAAACACACCATAAGTTTATAATAAAAACAATAGTTATTCTATTTGTACAAAAATTAATTAACAAATTCATATAGAATCATCTCATATGAAGAATAGAATCTACAAAAATGTGAGATTGTCAAATAAGAGTATTATATCTGGTTATATAACTAGTTTATGTTACATATAAACCTTTTCTAAAAGCAAATGTGAGGGTCAATTTGATTCCCATTGGATCTTAAATTTTGATTAAACTAAGTAATTGTCACGATCTAAAGCTTAAACATAATTGGGGTTATGTAACATCTTCCCTAATTTATACTCTTAACAATTGCCCACTTTGATAAATTATTGGTTTCAAGAATCATGACAAACCACAATCATTACAAGTGTCATTGATTCTTTTTATCTTCCAACTTTTGTATTTCATTAATACTTGTCCACTCCACATATTAAACTTTATTTGTAATGGAAACCCATTCTCCACGTCTACC